CAGACATATAAGCCGTCACATTCGCCAGCCAACCAACTACTCCCATCCAGAGCTCCTTGGAAAAAATGAACGTAAATTGAATGATAATAATAAAATTTAGAATTATTTTTATCTCTTAATTTCTATGCACAGTCCTTCCTGGAATAACAAAGATGGAATTTGCAAGAAGAAGGAGAAGATTAATGGAGTATGAGGAATATATATTAAGTTAATAAGCTTTTATTTTATTTTTATTTTTCTTAGGGAGATCAGTAAGACTCATTCAGGGATGACCAATGCTAATCACGTGTTGATCATTCCGGCATCAAAAGTACAATACATGTCACAAGATATATTGTAAGCAATAATAATAATAATAATAATTTTTGCATTTTTAAAACAAGAATTTTTTACTTAACTTTGATGTAGCATTGATAATTAGGTTGTTCTCTTTCTCTCTCTCTCTCTCATTCAGTTATAGGTTTCATCAAAATAACGATTTTCTATACTTCACTGGTTTTCAGGAACCCGATGCTGTACTAATTATTGAGTCAAATAGCTCTTCACCTCTTCCTGATCATAACACTGTACTATATGTCACTGATAGAGACCCATTTAAGTGAGAGAGGGAGAGAGGAAAGAGAGAGAGGAGGGAGAGATGTCAGATATTAATACTTTTTTGTTGCTAGGGAGAAGTGGGAGGGACCTGTTCTAGGGCCTGATGATGCCGTTGGTTATCTTGGCGTTGATGAAGTAAATTTTTATTTTAAAAACTAAGTTATAGCTATTATTCTTATTTTAAAGGCATACTCAATAACATTACTATCAGAACACTTGGAAAGAAAGTAAGTCTATTATTATTATTAATCATTAATATTACTAGAAAATTTGCGAGTATTAAAATTTTAACCATAAATTATGCTTAATGCTGCAGATAAAATTTGAGACTAAATTTTGGTGAATGAACCTCGATTTGTCAAATTTACCAAAATTTTACTCCACCTAATTTTCTAGCTATATTGATATTAATAAGTTAATAACTGTTATTGAAAAACTCTAGGTACTCAAAAGGTGGTTACTCTGTTTGGTATTATGGTGAAAGAGAGACCCCAGCAACAATCAGTGACTCCATTGATGTCACCATACATCAACACTTGTTAAATGTACCAGGCTCTCGTATAACCAGTAAGACCGGTTTGACAGGTATAGTACATGTACATGTTTTGTAGGTAATCACAGTCTCCTGTATCACATGCATACATTGAGGGCTATAAAGTCTGAGGGTGAGATATCACTGATGAGAAGAGCTGGGGAAATTGCTGCTGGAGCTTTTAAAAAAGTAAATAATTACAAAATAAAATATCTCATTTATTCGTGACTTTCAACTACCTGTACAAACAGACAGACAGAAGCGATTTTGTCCCTTCCTACTTTTTCCTCTTATTAGGGCTTGCTTTGGCTTGCACACATAATGCTCAGCTTGGCTTGCTTTGTCTTGCCCATTTAATCTTTAAATATATAATTTATCAAATAAAACAGCTAAACAGATGAGCAACGTGTAATTCAATCAACTAATTCGATGGACAATATGTATCTCTAATGTAAGAAGCAATGGATTTCTCTTCTATTGTATCCAGTGCTGTAGCTAATGATGACCAA